AATAGACTTGAGGTGTAAAACAAACAAACTCTCTTTAGTCCCTGAAGTCTCTCAGTCAAACACACACACACACACACACACGTTTTCATAAAGCGTCCCCTGGCCTGTTTTCGTCTCTCGCCTCTCCTCCTCACCTCTCGCCTCCTTCCTGGTGTGATGTTTGAGGCCCCTTAGTTAATTCCCACGCTACAAGGAAAGAAAACAGGAGGGAGCTTGTGTGTATATGTGTGTGGGTTGACCTCTGACCTCAGGGCCTGTGTCATCCCCCATCAAATAACATCTGGCCTGTGTTCTGTATCAAAAAAATCCTCAAATCCCTTGGCCCTGGTTCCCATGTGCACATCACAAGCATGCATCCACGAACAGCAACTGGAAAGTAGTCGTACTTGACATTTCCCAGTCTGAGGTTTTTACTCTTTGTGCAGAAAAGCCTTTAAAACAAAGATAAGTAGATATTGTCCTTTCTTCAATGAGGATCATTTGCGCTGTAAGATTTTAATATTAACACCGTTTCTGTATCTGAAAACCTTCAATACTGTGTCTGTTAATCAAAAACAATGACTTTAGCAACGGTTGTGATACAGTTGCTTATTTTTTCTGACCAACCTGATTAGATATCAAATTAACTTTGAAGTCTGTTTTAGCCTTTAGCTTGAAAAATAAATGGCTATTGATGATGACGATGGATTTTCTGTCAGTTGCCTTATCAAGTAATCGGCTAATTCTCCGTAAACTGTACAAACCAGTTCTACGATTTTCCTCCAAATTCAGATCCACAAACACAGATCCTGACAAAGATGAAATGGACACTTTAAATCACTGTTTGCTTTTTTTGGGCTCAAGAGGAAAAGATTCCTCCTCTTCAGTTTGGTTTGGTTTTGAGGCACAAACCAAACATCCTGCGAACAAAAGCTGGAGGTTGGGATGTGGGTGTTAAGGGATGTGTGTGTGAGAAAAGTTTAGTAAAACAGTTAAAGAGAGAAAAGGGAGCTGTCATTTACGTCAGAGAAGCGGAGAACAATGCTGCAGGCAGGAGATGGACCAAGGTCGACTTGTTATGAATGCTGCAACTGAACAAGATGTCAGCCTGTCTGTCTGAAAGCAGAACGCCCGTCTTACCAATGCAGTGGAGTAACAGGGAGAGCCAGGTTAAGAGGCTGTATTCTGTTTGTATTACTTACAGAAAGAATCATTTAGTATTTGATGTTGTGGATTTGTTGTAAAAGTCTCTTCTCTTGCAGTTTTTATGTCTCTAAATGTTTAATAGAATTTTTCTAACACAGAAAAGCTGAAAATGCTCAGTTGATTCAAGTTTTCCATAAAAATTTGATCATCAATTTGTAAGTGTCCAAGTACCAACCCTAAAAGTTCCTCATCTGGTGTTGCTTCCACAGACATTAGATTTATGTGCCTCATCCACAGGAGGCGTAAATATGGGTGGGGACATTTTGTACTTATCAACTTAATCTCCTCTGACATTTTTAAATATCCTTCACCTGCATTTTACAGCATGAGTTCTCGCTCTTTCCTGCAGCAGAAACCTAATATCCCCTGAAGGAGCCATATTGTTAACTTCCATCTACTGTGAAGTACAATATTACTGCAATAAAGCAGTAATGAAAGAATACATAAACCACAGAATGCTGGAAGTTTTTTTTCCCATATTCATAGTGTCAGCTGCTTCACATCCGAATAAACACAAATTTGAAACAACAAATCAGAAAGGATAAAAGGAGGAAGTGACTCAAAACATAAATATGAGGTGTGAATCGTAATTTAAAACAAATTATTAGAATTAGCATACAAACAAACTGTCAAACTTCTTCTTGGTTATGAAAATCATAGAAAAGTAATTTCAGAACAAGGAAGGTTTTTTTAGTTGTGGTTCCGATGCTTTATTTTAAGTACCATGCTGCAGGACAGACACATTAAATGACAGGTGATGCAGTATCATCTTTTCCTCAGTAGTGGGAGCTCTCTTTCCGTCTGAAGCCTGAGCAGCAACAAGCTTGAATGAATCACAGCCTGAAAAGCTCAATGGTGAATGTGAGTTTGTGAATGTAACAGGGTGTGAATCAGTAAAAACAATAATAATCTCAAACAAATGATTTTCTCACGTCACTTAATCATAGTTAGTGTTTATTCATCAGTTTTACAGTCACCTTCACCGTTTACAGTGCAAATCTGATACATTGAGTTGATTGAATATCGGCATCATACAGTCAGTAATGTTAGTATTTTTGTAGATGTTCATATATTTTCATTTAAATCTGGTAACGGGTTTACAGTGAACAACATTTATGTCACAAGTCTCACAAGTCTGTGTCCCATCATGATCTAATTTCTGTCTTCCAGTATTTCCCCAGTGGTGGGAAGAAAATCTAAGGGAATCACAGAAAAGGGAGGTTACATTTTTCCCGGTGGAATAAAAAATGAAAAGGAAACTTCCTGACAAACTCTTGGTATGTTTATCTATTAAATATGAGGTTGTCCTTAGAGTTTAAATTTAAAACAGATCTTATTCGCTGCTCCCACTGTGATAGGGAACATGTGTTTTGCTCTAAGGCTCAGTTCCAGCAGTGACCACCTGACCGTTAAATCTCGGTCATGTTGAAGTGTCCTTGAACACGCTACCTGCCCGCCCAGATTAAAGAACACACCAAAATATAGAGCGATAAGAACAAAGGGATAATCCTATAATCCAACGTACAATATATATTTTATAAAATCCATCATATATGTGAGATTCATGAAAAGGGGAGACTTCATCTGCATCCCGCCAGGGAGGGGGAGGGGCCATGTGCGTAAGCTCTGTCATAAGTCTCCTAGTTCCCCCTTAACTGGCATCAGGGTCTATTTTTAGCTTCTGACGTCACTGGTCTCCTCTGATGGAGCCTCGTCACGGCCGACTACACTGGGCCGAGGGAGGAGGGGAGGACGGGGTGTAAAATGGGGTTTGGTGAGGTGTGGTGGTGGTGATGGGGAGGGGGGTGTCATCACTGAGGTAAGCCCTACCGCGGCCCCGCCCATCTGCTGCCCCGTCACACCAATCAGGTGCAGGATGCAGAGGCACATCACGCTGCTGGATACAGCCTTCCTCATCACTCCCTCACCTCCTCATCCTCCCCCGCCTCTGTCTCCCTCTCAGCTCCTGTAAATTGGGTCTGTTTCATTCAGCATCGATTGCATAATAGCCATCTTTCATTTTTCAGGCACTGCTATTGCTGGAGCGCCGGAGACAGGCCGAGCTAAAAATAGACACAGGGGCACAACCTTGCTCCGCTGCTGCTCTGGTTTCTGTTGTTATTGAGGAGAGGGGGCGGGTGACATGGCTGACAATAGATCTAATTGATAAAAATAGATATCCACATGAAGAGTCACTTATAACTGAATGGTGCAGAAGACATTTTTTAGTAGGTCAATAAAGAGGTGAACGGTTGTAACCTGCAGGTTTGCTGGTGTTTTTACGCAGCAGTCTTATCTTGTTTTTGTTTTAGTGGAATAAACCGTTTACTGAAACTGTTACTGGTTTCCAGGTATATTGTCCTGATGGTTAGTTGCACAGTTTCATCAGCTAGCAACTGCTAGCTGTCAAAATGTGTGTTTTGAACAAAAGTTGATATTTTGAACGGATTCAAAGACATTTGGGGTCAACAAAAAGATGTCAACCTTGTCTCCTCCACTCTGCTTGTTCCTGCTTGTTATTGTGTACGATATCTACGCTTGACATCTGCAAATATTTTCACACAGTTTCTGAATTTTAAGCCTTAAAAAGTATCAAATCTCTAATACATGTAGGTAGGTCTTAATCATGTTCATGTTAATTTAATGCCGCTGCTGTTGTGCTTCAAAATGTGGTTTTCCTTTGTATCTGTCATACTATTCCTAAACCTTAAATTTCAGTATTTATAATCTAAAGAAGGTCTAAAAAGTCTTAAATTTAACTTTTTGAAACCTTGGATTATCTTACTGATGAGCTTTAACTCTCCAGTGCGTTCATCTGTGTGCTCAGCCAAATCTCAAAGCCTCGTTCATCTTTCTCTGTTTTGGCTTTTTTGCTTTTTCAGGGTGTCAAGATGTATAGCAAAAAAAATACTTGGGTTCAAAGGAAATTTGGGGTAAAAAGGGGAATTTGTTGAATGAATGTTGGCAACACTGAACCCTGCAATTCAGAGGCTGCAGACTGACCTCATCCTGGCTGGAAGCATTTCAACAGGATTAAACCGTAAGCCAAGTCTGACTGTGATACTGTTCGACTGCATCCAGCTGGAGACCATACAGAGTGTTTAAAAAGCAGGGGCTTTTATTTTGATCATAAGAATGAAATTTGATTAAAAAGATAAAGCTCCTGTTTATCATTTACGTGGAGGGAAGTTATTCTGTAGCAAGGGGAGCCTTTCACTGGGTGATGTAGTGGTGGGTGGGGATGAGGGGGTATGGAAGCAACTCGACTGATGTAACATGCATGAAGTCAGTGTTGCCGTCATTCCAAAGATAGTGTGTGTTTGGTCTGTGAAAAGTGAGTAATCATAAGGTCATGTGTTTAAAAAGATGCTCTAAGTGGAACGTTTGAATCACACATTTCCGTCCTTTTACCAAGTAGAAGTTACCTTTTAATATTCCTTATGGTTTTTTTGAATACTTTTATTCATGTTTCCCTTCATCATCATCTTGCGTCTGTAGTTGTTGTTGTTGTTATACTGTTGTCTAAGCACTTTGGAATATTTAGGCTGTTGATATAGAGACTTGTACATTTAAATTTGTAATTGCAATTAGTGTCATTAATGAAAATTATTTTTAAAAGTTCTCTGATACTTCTTGTTTTTCCTATGCTGTCCTTTGATTTAAAAATTGTGGCTATTTTGTATCCATCCTATACACTGAAACAGTAACAGTAGTATTTATGTATAACAGTAGTATTTATGTATAACAGTAGTATTTATGTATAACAGTAGTATTTATGTATAACAGTAGTATTTATGTATTTCTTCTCTCTGTAGTTTTGATGTGGAGAATGGCCTCTCGGTGGGTCGCAGTCCTCTGGACTCTCAGACGAGCCCGGGTTCTGGTCTGGTACTTCAGGCCAACTTCCCCCACAGTCAGCGCCGCGAGTCGTTCCTCTACCGCTCCGACTCAGACTTCGACCTTTCGCCCAAAACGATGTCCCGCAACTCATCCACCGCCAGCGACCTGTGAGTATTTCAGAGACCCTGTCTTGTGTCATTTAATAACAAGACACCAACCAGGCTGTAGCTTTGACTTGTAAAAACACTCTGAGGTTTCTCGATGGGATTTAGAGGGAAATGTGATGGTTTCCTTCTCACCACAAAACACACAGAGACTTACTTTTAACAGCAGATAATGAAGACATGAAAGATAATGATAAACCTGATTGTGAAATATGTTTCTATAAAAATTACAATTATTATTATTATAGAATTTGAAACTACATCCTCAGCTCAGAGCTAGTTTTTCTTTTCAGTTAGTGTGATGATATACAGATTTCTCTGTGCAGCTAGCAGCCTCTTTGAAGCCAGAGTATAAAAGAGGCCTCCGCCACCAATAGCTGTTGCTCCTTTGTTTTGAAGGGAGGAGGGATTGAAGCATTGGGAAGTCAATTGGCTACCTCGGTGAGACAAAGTGTGGAGACTGCTGTGACGTTCCGCCTTTCTCTTTGCACGGTGCCATGTTGTTACGAGTCAAACCCACCACTTCATCCCCCCCCCACCTTTTCCTGAACGCACCCTTGAGAACGTAACTTGGGACCCTCGCCTCCAAAAGCATCACCCCTGCAAACAGACCCAGCAACAGTCATAAATATAGTCAGTCGATGTTATAGTTATTCGACTCTGTACTTTTCACTGGCAGCATGGATTTACCCTGAAGTCTGAATTGTTATGAGGTGCATGTCGTGACCCTAAATCTTCCAGAGAGCTGAAACTCTCCAGCAGTTTCCCAGCACCCCATGCATGAACGCTGCTCCCCACCTGCACACAGTTAAAGTTATAACAATCTATATCTTGGAGGCCTCGTGCAAAATTAGATCATTTTTGACACTCGCAGAAAACTCTGGTCTGACGTTTAGTCGGGTTGGCTGTGGCTGAGGGGTAGAGCGGTCCTCCTCCAACTAGAAGTTTAGCAGTTTGATCCCAGTCTTCCCTATCTGTATGCCAAATTGTCATGGGCAAGATGCTCAGCCCTAAATTGCCCATTACAGGGAAAAAAAGTGCTGCTAATAGAAGCACTGTATGAATGTGTGTGTGAATGGTAAACTAGACTAGAAAAGCGCTATATGATTTCAAACTATTTACATTGAGTTGTCATACTTAACTTATTAGCAAATATTTGGCGTGTCTGGCTACTTTGCCAACTTCTACATCATTAAACTATATATCTACAACATTCACTCCAGTTTTCTGTAAACTATTCCCAGTGGTTTTATATAGCAACTTTAATGAGTGTCGTGACACCAGAGAACCAAAACTATGAGCCAAAATATGTTTTTTAATGCTAACTTATAAACCAGTGCTTTCTTTCATATTATCTTTCAACTTTTTTACCTCTAATCTACTGGACTTCAGTCGTATTTAAATTTAGTTGCAGCAGTAGATCTATGGCTGATGTGTCACTCTAACCTGCATCTTTGCCTCCAAGAAATAGTTGTGTAACTAAAATGATGTCCTTCCCTATATCCACTGTATTTGAGACCAACCAATCTTATGTTCCTATACAGTCCTCATCGAGATCGTGATGACAACAGGTATTTGTTGTCATTATCTGTGTTTTGAGATTCTGGAATCACATGATATCTCCTGAACCCTATCACATGACTTTTTCACTAGATCTCTGTCTCTGTGTGTCTGTGGCTCTTACAGGCATGGAGAAGACATGATAGTGACTCCATTTGCTCAGGTCAGTAGTATTTAGACATGTACATCAACATGAGTTATATTATATTATATTATATTATATATACAATGCAAGCACCAGATTCTGTCCATTGTGTGCCTATCAAATGAAGTTCCATGTGGCAACAAAACAAGATGTGGTATAGGCTCTCGTTTTGTGTATGTACATCATTTATGTTTGAATGTCCCAGACCATAAACATGTGAGGAGCTGCTCTAACAAACTGACAAGCCCCCATTTTAAAGGCACAAGTTATTTCTACTGCAGATTTAAGAAAAAAAGTCTTAATGTTGCCATAAATGACAGAGAGACAGATTTGTCCAGTGAAGTCTCACCTGATGTTGTAGTTTCCAGGGACATTATAATGTTTCCATTCTAACTAATACTGTCTAATTGTTAGTGTGGGTCTGTCCAGACAATCCACACAACTGCTCACTGGCCGGTTTGAAAAATAAGAGGTTCATTTTTCACAGAAAACCCCCACGCACACTCTCTTTGTACTGAACAGCTTGTACTGAGTCTTTACTTGTCACCAATGTTGGCCCATGAGAACATCATTGTGCATATTGTATTTCTAATCTGTTCCAGCCTGTACTTCATTTACCCTACCTGCAGTTGGACATTAAAGTTATTTAACTAAACATTCATGTTTTTTGGGCAGTGCAAATAGTTTGATACACAGCTGCAAAATTTGGTGTAGCTGGTGAGGCTGATTATGGGATGTTGTGGAATTTCAGTGAATCTTTATTATAAACGGATAACATTTCAGCATCACTTTATTTCAGATGAGAAAACCAAATGACGCTGACAGAAACATATAGTTCCTCAACAGTAAAATCAAGGAAACATCTGCCAGTGTGCAGTGAACTTTCAATCAGCTGAAATGATTTGATATGATTATGTTACATTACATTACAATAGCCTCAAGTCTTAAAATGTGCCAGTAATAACTCAACAGAAGTGTTGTATTTACATGCTCGTCTTAGGAAGGCTGCACTCCCTGTGACTGCGTAGTACTTCATTATTTACTGACTGATTCCAGCAAAGTGTCAGAGCCTCTTGTCAAAGCAAAACTCAAAATGAGCTTGATAGAAACTCATTATTATTATTATTTGTCAAGATGGACCATGTCTCATGTGACTTCATCTTACAACCGAATGTTTTTCTCCTCTAGGTTCTCGCCAGTCTGCGAACAGTGCGAAGTAACTTTGCGGTTCTGACACATCTGCAAGATCGTGTGGTAAACAAGTAAGAGCCAGTAAACAGAGTGGATGACTAACTGGTTGTTTTCTTGTTATTTTGCTAAAGCCTCATCTGTTCCCTGTTCCAGGCGGCCATCAAGCAGCAACCAGCCGTCCATGTGTAAGCCATGTCTTGCAGGTCAGTGTTTACAGAACTGTATGGTGGGACTCACAGGGATGATGTTAACTGTCTGCATCTGCTCAAAGCTTTTACAATTCATAGTTTCTGTGGAAATATTGTAAACCAGTCTCGGTGTGTAGCTGTACACTAGCACGTCTTTTATTGAAGACTAGTAAACATGTAATTAGGCATTAGATATCAGACTGAGCTGATTTTAGACTTAAATAAAAAATCTGAGCTTTATTTTATCCAGTATAAACAATGTGATGCAGTTTGTTTTTATTATAGTTTTCAAAAAATGTTTGTAACATGACTAGATTACACAAATCTGTATCTTTTAGTGTTTTCATCATCAAAGTGTTTAAGGTTTTCTAAAAAAAAGGTTTCCAGTCCTAAGTTTCAACACTTGACATCTCAAAAAAGTCAAAATATAAACCTTAATGCTAAAATAGAAAAAAAAGACTCACTGATAAAGTCCCACTTAAAGTTAATTTTTAAAGTTTTCCCTCATTATGTGAGGCTGCAAATGTTTTGAAGTTGTTCGAAGTGTAGGGTTGTGTCGGCTTGTGTTGGCCCCTGACTTGTGTTTGTGTGACCCCTGACCTTTCAGAGGAGCCTTACCAGAAGCTGGCAGTGGAGACACTGGAGGAGCTGGACTGGTGTTTGGACCAGCTGGAGACGCTGCAGACGAGAGACTCTGTCAGCGAGATGGCATCCAACAAGGTGAGGATCCATTTCATACACACTCTCCAAGTCAGTGAAGCTGACAGGGCATGTGGAGAGCTTCAGTCGGGTGATGTAAGTTTCAGGGCAGCAGAGGGGCATGAATGTGCTGATGCCCTCAATATATGTAAGATGTGCAGATGACATTCTACTACCACTAGGTTTGAGGTTTGAAAAACCCATATGGATCATAGAACGCTATTTTCAACTAAACTTCTCTAAGACTGAACTCCCATCTCTGTGCCATTAGCTGCCTGTAAATCTCTTCATCTGGGTATCAACATAAAAATGGTCTCTTGATCTCTCCTGGGTGCCATGTTCGATCACTTTTTATTAGCTGTGTCTCGATTCAGGGGCTGCATCCATCGGAGCACATGGTCCATCATCGTAGACCACGTCTGCCGAGCCAAAATGAGACGCTCTGGTCTTAGTATTTTCCCGCCCTTCCAGTTGTCACCTAGCAACAGAGCTTCGAATGAAAAAGTTCTGCAGTTGATAAAAAACATTAAAAAGATATTTTTTTTAACATGGGCACTGTTTGCTGTTTGGTTTAGTTGTTCCTCGATGGTGGAACGAGCTGCCGGATGCAAGCAGAGCAGGAACATTTCTATATTTCTGAGAATCTCTTAAAGTCCGATCTTCACCAGTCAGAGCTTTGAGAGAATGTTGTTTCCTAACACCACCAACACCCTGACATGCCTAACGAGCACTTGGAATACATCCATACTACTACGTTTGAAAACAGTCTCTGTCCACATGAGCATTTTGGCTCCATATCAGTTTTAATCCTTGTCCACACTAATGCACCTGAAATGTGAATCACGTTATCACATGCAATGGGAATGCGTGTGTCGCTGTAAACAGGAATTGCAGGAATAATACCTCGTCTCCTGCACATAAGCAGTTGCATCATTGCAAAATGCAGAATTTAACTTCAGAACAGCTGTTAGAAAATACAACAGGGTCAGCGATGCTTGTAGTCGATTATACGTTGTGCACTGATACTCCGGCTAATGCCAGTTGTTTTCTTCTGCAAGGAGGGTCATGTGATGGCAGCCGACAATCAAATATAAACCAGGTATAAGAGAAAAGTATCACTTTACGCTACAGCCATCTGCAGTGTGATCATGGCCATTAAGATTCAAATTCATGAATGGCGTCTCCCTCCGCTCAAAGAATTAATCAGCATCTCCTCCCTACTTCACTCCTTCCTGCCTCCCCTCGCTGTCGTCGGGCTGCTACTCTCAAACCTCCTCCATCTCGCGGTCAGCCAATCAGATCCCTCTCCTCCACCCAGCCCCTGGAGCCGAGCAAATCTAATTGGACAGAGAGGGGGCAACAGTGTGTGGGGCGGGGGAAGAGGGGGGTTCCTCGCAGCCTCCCCCCCACCCCCACCCCCGTCTCCCTCTTTATGTTTCTCACTGACAGCGTGTGCCAGTAGTTGGGCGAGCGTCTGCAGTCACACCCTCTCCTCCTCCGATGAGAGACCACATTCCCAGCCTCACCCTGCCCCCCCACCCCCTTCCCTCTAACCCCCGTCCTGCCGCCTCCCCCCTGTCACCTACAGGACAGAACATGGGATCTGTGGGAACTATTTCCAAGAGGTCTTCTTCTCCTGTTCAGACCGTCCCTGCCGAGCATGGAGCAGGACTGAATGAGCAGATTTCAGCCTGACACAGAGCCAGCAAACTTGTCCGCTTGACCATTTTTATTTATTTTTGGGGGGATTTTACCGACCTCTAACATCAACATGCGGGGGTTGACATGCCTGCATCGTCGGCGCTCTGGGTTTGCCTGTGCTGGAGACTCAGACAGGTGAGCGACATGGAGCTCCGCTGGCTTGCCTTGTTTACACTGGGATCTATTGATCGGCGGTGCAATCTTTGCAGGGGGCTGAATGCTGAGTGAGCCCGCCTGTTGGATCTGACTCAGGACTCGATCTGCAGACAGAGACAGAAAACTGAAAATGTGTGTTTGTGTCTACACATGTATGAGTGAGTGTGTGTGCATGAGACAGGGAAACTCATGCGTGTTAATAGTGTTGATTGGCTGTCTTTATAGAAGCAGGAGCACGTTGTGTGTCTTTTGTAAACATGCATGTGTGTGTGTGTGTTTGTGTGCATGTGTGTGTGTGTGTGTGTGTGTTCAGGTATAACCCATGTTGTGGGGACCTAATATGTTTACACAGTCACATTGTGGAGACTTGTCCTCCTTATTGGAACAAAAATCAAGTCCCTACAATGTAAATCTTTCAATTTTAAGGTGAAGGTACATTTTAATGTTCTGGTTGGTTTAAGTTAGGTTAAGGGATAATGAAGTAGTAGTTATGGTTAAGGTTAGAATAGGTCCCCAGGAATTGGATATAAGTCAGTGTTATGTCCTCTGATGACTTAGCAACACAAGACACATTTTGTGTGTGTGTGTGTGTGTGTGTGTGTGTGTAATGAAGGGACAAAAAAGGGAAAGCATGGCAGTGCTCAGTTGTGGCGAGAAGCTACAGGAGCAGAAAACCACACAATTTTTGTTATAGCTATACAGGATTACATTTCATGTGTGTGTGTGTGTGTGTGTGTGTATGTGTGTGTGTGTATGTGTGTGTGTGTGTGAGGAACTACTGCAGCATCACTCTCTCCCCCCAAAATCCCCTCCCCTCCTCCGTCAACCACCACGTGCCGGAGCTGTTACATAATCGCTGTGATAAAACTCAGGAGGGAAACACTGAACACTTGTTTTTGGGCATGAATGTTACGCTGGTGTTTGCAGATTAACTGAAACAGCACAGTTACTGATATATTTCTTGTATATTAGAAATCAAAACATGTAAAGATCAAAAAACAGCACATGTCACTGAATTGAAAGCATTTCAAATAAGGTAAATGTGAAACCTAGGATATAAAGACAGAAATAAATTTGCCAATGACACCATATCTGTGAGCACTAGTCCATGATGGGCTCCCAATTCATAAATATGAAACCTCTGCAAGGACAATAGAGCAGCTTGTGTTGTGTCTCTGTGAAAAAAAAACATTAAGAATATAAATTCCTTATTTACTTATTAGATATAAGTTGAGTTTGGTGCATCCTGACCAACCTGATTAACCTTTGTCAGTGTGCAGAGCATTTCTAATGACACACAGTAAAAAATAATCTTATTGTTATTTACACCTACTACAAAATTGTTATTTATTAAAAATTTTACAATATTACACCTGATTCCACTCTTATCTCACATATTATATATTTTTATATGGCTTTACTCTGATACTTGTCGAGTGGAGAACTATAATGCACATTGTCTCCACCATTATCTTATGTGTTCACAGCTATATCAAGGTATCACTATAGATTTCACTGCTACACATACACACCTTGTCAATGTGTGTGTGTTAACAGCATTCACGCTCGACATTGACTAACCACATCTGTATTTATTTTTGTGCCCACACAGTTTAAGAGGATGCTGAACCGTGAGCTGACGCAGCTTTCAGAGACAAGCCGCTCAGGGAATCAGGTGTCAGAATTCATCGCAAGCACTTTCTTAGGTGAGTTTTAACACCCGACATAAACAGGTGAACACATGTGGAAGGGAATGGGCTGTTGCTCACCATCTCAGCATTTAATTAAAATATTCGTAAACCAAATTATAATATTTTGCTTTTGTTTAAATGATTTTAAGATGGAATTGAGCCCATTTTAAGGTAATTTCATTGGCTGTAGATAGTTTATTGTGATGTTAAACTGTTATACTGAGAGATGCTTTTAATATTTAGTCTGTCATTGATATAAGTGGGGTGGACTGACATTGCGTTGGATAAATTACATGTTGGGTAAATTACATGTTGTGTTATCACAGACGTGTCAGTGAGCTTTGTGTCTGTTGTGCTTTCCCGCTCCTCTCACTTGACGAATTTGATTTTCATGAATCCATCACCTGCGTTTATTGACTGTTCTGACAGTTCTATTCTACGAGCATCGCACCAAACTGACCTTCAACATATGTGAACTTTGGCATGTGAGCATTTCATGTATGAGATGGTGGGAGAATGAGGAGCAGGGATAGTTTAGTGGTGTTTTATTAAAGCGATAACGAGAGGTTTTTTTTTGAGCAGAGGAATGTTTAGAAATGACAAGGAAGCAGAAAAGGAGTTTTTAAAAGTTAACCCGAGAAGGAGATAAAAAATTGTCAAAAACAAAAGGCAGAAAGAGATTCAAGGAAGTCAAGAAAGAAAAAAAAAGCATAAATGATTGTTTAGGAAAAGAAGAGAAAAAAGATGGAAAACATGAAAGAACGGGAAGAAGTGGAAGAGGGAGATTTGAAAAAAAGGGAAGAAAGGATAGAAGGAAGACTTTCTAAGGTGAAAAATGAAGGAGCATGTTTATAAAAATGAAAAAAAAGGCAGAGGGGATTGTTGTATTGATGTATGGAGAAGGTGAGGATTTGTCCTTCCTCTAAAAGAGAAGTGGGTGCAGAGACAGACAGCATTCCCGGACACACTGTGTGGCGTTGTCGTAGCAACAGGGTGCAATATTATTAGACAGCGTGTTGCATCAATAGGAGGCTCAGTCTTCAACAGCACTGCCAGCAGGATGGAAGTCCGGCCGATCGACGATGGGGCTGTCAGTTGGACGCCGTTTTGACATGAGGGCTTCGGCGTCAAGCTCGGCTGCGTATGGAAATCAACACCATGGTTTTGGGTGTGAGGAAGAGGAGGCACTGTGAGAGAGGTGAGAGAGGCCAGGCAGCGCCTTGTGTGACGCTGTCACTCAGGTTGCTCTGCGTCCTTGTGGTGGCTGGTGTTTGTATCTGGCCTGAGATCTGGATTTTCTTTCTGTGCTTATAACACGTGGAGGGAAAATACTGAGGATGAGTTGTGGACGCGAGGGGAAGCGGGCTGTCTGGGATGTCAGGAGGAGATCATCATTCTCTTGGTTTGTAGAAAAACAGATGAGTCATTTTCAACACGAGCGTTTCTGCTGGGACAGCACCTCCGTGTCAGCAGATCATATGGAGCTAATGTCGATGAAGGCGATACCGTCAGTGGAAACCTTGTTTTGGTGATTCCCAAATTTTTGTTTAAGGGATTACTCACTTCACAGTGAGTGAGAATAAAAAAACAAGCCTACATTTGAAAAACATGACACATGCTTCGTCATCAAGCTCACAACAATGCTGATGTCTTGAGAAGTTTTACCCATCATCCTTTGCTTTCTGCTGCTGGTGTTCTGCACCCACTGCTCTGATAATACAGCTGTTTACTGCTGTTACTGCATAATTACACCTGTTAATGTTCCTGTTTGTTGATAAACCATGTCTTCCTACATACTTATCATAATGCTATTTTTAAGTGACAATTATATTTTACATACTTAACTTAAAACCTCAAATCAGCAATTTTTTCCAACAAATTCTTTAAACCTTCATATAAATATAAGTTGTTGTATTTTTGCACTGAATTTGATTCACAAGAGCAATGCAAAATCAATATTTGCACAACAGCAATAACTAAACAGGAAAGACAAATGTGTTAATACAGAGCTCAGCAGGCCAGTGGACTCAGCCTACATCAGCTTCTACTAGCATAACACCCCTGAATCTCTGAATGAACTGTTAGCGGTCGAGTGATGTAGGTAAGGAAGAAGAATGCAGGAAGTAAAGAAGATAATACAGTTTAATTTGTGATCATGCAAATAGTTGGTAAATTAAACTGTAGTGTTGACAGCAGCAGTTTTGAGACTCGGATGCTGTCTTATGTATAAAAGCCTTTCCTTGAAAACATTGACCATTGTTGAAATTTCTAACTCATTTGCATTGATCGTCTCGCTGAAACTATTGGCTACACTGGCTACACTGATTTCTGTTGAAGCTAAGACACTAGTTCTGTTTAGTATTTCAGGGGGATGAGGACGTGCAGCATAGCTCATTGGTTGAGGTTGTGATCTGTGTTCATTGAGCCACAAACGTAATAATTCACTTATGAATCTGCCCTTAACAGAATGTGTCTGTGTTCACACTACAGAGAAACAACATGACGTGGAGATCCTGTCTCCACCTTCTAAGGAGAAAGAGAAGAAGAAGAGGCCAATGTCACAGATCAGCGGAGTGAAAAAGCCCACACAAAGTCCCAGCTTAGCAGTCGCCTGCATCCCTCGCTTCGGAGTCAGTGCCCCGCACGAGAGTCTGCTGGCCAAGGTGGGTTCTTACACACACACACACACACACACAGATAGACACTAAGAAACACTTTTCTTATAAATGTCCTGTTTCACTTCTCCAGGAGATCGAAGACGTTAATCGTTGGGGTCTGGATATTTTCAAGATAGCAGAATTTTCCGGAAACCGCCCTTTGACGGTGATCATGTACTCCGTCTTCCAGGTAGGACAATCTCTCACCTTAAAGTCTGCTCGCTTCACCAGAAAGAGGAAAAAGAGATGAAAGTGTGATTGTGTATTTTATTTTAACGTCAATGAATCATTAAGCAGCTGTTGCAGATGTACAGTGAGCTTCAGCTCATCCATAAGCTGCCTGTTCTGTATTTTTCCTTTTTTTTTTTTTCATAATATTGCAGCTGTTGAACGAGAACAGTTGTAAAAACCACTTTAATCTACCTGCTCAACTCTGTAATAGACAAACTGGTGAAAGCAGTTGAGCATTTAGTAGCTGAAGAGCCAGATGATTTCCTCCGAACTTGGTAAAATCCAAAACCAGAGCTAACAGAGAGAGAAGCTGAAGTTGCTCTGTAACTGATATAGAAATGACATGCCACCTTTGTTTCTTCTGCCCCCAGGTGGCTATTGTAGGTTTGAGACATGATATAAAAACTTCAAGTATTAAATGTTAAAGATGTTTCTGTCGCTATGAAGTCTGTCAGTGTCTTTAATGCATTTTTCGGATTTGGGGTTAAAAAAATGCTTGACTGTTAACTTAATGAAAATGAACAGGAGCCTCCCATGTTACAGTTAAAGAGAGTAATCTCTAATAAGCGTTATTGGATGTTCATGTGACATCGATGTTCCTTCTCATCCTGTCAGGAGAGAGACCTTTTGAAAACCTTCAAGATCCCAAACGACACATTCATCACCTTCATGATGACCTTAGAGGACCACTACCACTCTGACGTAGCGTATCACAACAACATCCATGCAGCTGACGTGGTGCAGTCCACACATGTCCTCCTGTCCACCCCCGCTTTAGAGGTGAGATGAGAAAGCTGCTGTTGTAACTTTCTGTACTTTTATATGGATTTTAGGACGCAGTTAGACCCTCCACCCTGATTTTTGACGACCTAATTCACATTTTTGTTATTTCTCATTTGAAATAAAAAGTGGTTTCAACATTAAATGAGAGTATCATTTTGAATAAATATGTTTCTTCTCCTTGGTCCAACCCAGGCAGTGTTCACAGACCTGGAGATTATGGCCGCTCTGTTTGCAAGTGCCATCCATGACGTCGACCACCCAGGAGTCACCAACCAGTTCCTAATAAACACCAGTAGGTTTCTCTCCGTCTCTGTGGACATCTGCCTAAAAATGAGTCAACGATTGGACACATTGTGATATATTTGACGAATTTAGGAATAAAATAGAATTTTAAATATTTATAATAGATTTAATATGAATGCTATAACCCTCAGATTATATATCAGAGATCTGAGGTGGTCCTGTTACACATTTCCATCGTTATCTCTGCAGGTTCGGAGTTGGCATTGATGTACAACGATGCGTCGGTGTTGGAGAACCACCACCTCGCTGTGGGCTTCAAACTGCTCCAAGAAGACAACTGTGACATCTTCCAAAACCTCAGCAAGAAACTGAGAGAGTCCCTCCGCAAGATGGTGATCGACATGGTGAGACTGCTGCAGTTTCTACATGACGCGCTGTTTTTTGTCACACTGTACCTGAACTTTCACCTCACATATTATATTGTACTCATGATCAGGTCACATGAGCAACACGTCACCTCATGGAAACATGTGACTGAAGCTGTGTCTCTGTTGGTGTGACTGTCGCCCCCTGCAGGTGCTGGCCACTGATATGTCCAAACACATGAACTTCTTGGCGGACATGAAGACGATGGTGGAAACCAAAAAGGTGACGAGTCTGGGAGTCCTGCTGCTCGACAACTATTCTGACCGCATTCAGGTAAGAGCGCCCCCTGCTGACCATGGACCAATGAACACATATAGTTGTAATGTAGTGATTTCTAAATATAGATAGTCGCTGTGTACAATGTGATGAACTGAGGGTTTGCTTCACTGTTTATTATAAAATCTTCATTATGTCTGCAGCAAAGACTGGAGAGTTAATCAGTTTTAGATTAAATCTTCACAGTGAGCACTAACTGAAACAAGCACTTCTCAGACACGGACAGCAGCGTGTTTCCCTCATACACAGCAAACTAATCAGCTGTTTTCTACCAAGGAGTGGGAGTGAGAGTGCTGCAGCCTGCTGGACACAGTGGTCACTGCATTTGTGTGTGTGTTGTGTTCCTGGCAGAATGATGATGAGATTAACCAAAGTCTTCCTTACTGTCTGTCCACTTCCTCCAGGTTCTGCAGAACATGGTCCACTGTGCCGACCTGAGCAACCCAACCAAACCGCTGGAGCTGTACCGACAGTGGACGGACCGCATCATGGTGGAGTTCTTCACCCAGGGAGACCGGGAGCGGGACAAGGGCATGGAGATCAGTCCCATGTGTGACAAACACAATGCCTCCATAGAGAAGAGTCAGGTAAATACCACTGACACACAGATGTGGAGGGAATAAAGTAAAATATTATTTTCAGAAAAACATAGGGAGCAACAAATGCATACATCTCTAAAATGTGATTGATAATCTGAAAATGCAGTGTTTACCATTTACAGATCAGTAATTTAATTTTGCTCATTCCAGAGTACTGCTAAAATGATAATATATGTGTACATTTTTGCCCATTTGGGTCAAACTAATCCGGCATATCATTCCTATAATTTTTGTGTGTTCATTACTATAATTATGCATTTTTATGACCAGGTGGGATTCATCGACTACATCGTCCACCCTCTGTGGGAAACCTGGGCAGACCTGGTGCACCCTGATGCCCAAGACATCTTGGACACCCTGGAGGACAACAGAGAGTGGTACCAGAGCATGATCCCCCACAGCCCATCGCCTTCCAGCCCAGAGGAGCACCATCTCGAGGGGGAGCCCGGAGGAGGACCACTTGGAGCAGGAGGATCTCTCCCTTCAGGAGGAGGAGGAGGAGGGGACAAGTTCCAGTTTGAACTCACTCTGGAGGAAGAGGAGGAGGATGATGTGGAGTCAGATCTGGAGAGCCCCCTAGAGGAGGAATCCCAGTCGGGTGGGGAGCGCCACCAGGACTCCTCCCCTTCCCTGTCTCCAGACCCCCACAGCAGCAGCAGCAGGTACCGCCCCCCCTCGCCTCACCCGTCCCGGACCCTGAGTCTGGCTGCCATGTCGGTGCGGAGCCCCCATCCCCACAGAACGCTAGCCTCCCCGGGGAGGGGGGGCACTGACAGGGACAAAGAACTGAGCCAGGAGAGCGACGGGGTGGCCTGCCTGCGTATCGGCACGTAACAACCAGCACAACCTGCCCGGCCTGAGAGACAGGAGATGTACGGAGGAAGAGGCAGGGCAGGCCTTTACCAATAAAGTCTGTAAAATCACCACAGTCCCTTTACACTGGAGACACTCTCTCTGGAGAACAGAGGGACGTTCACCCTCTGCTTGATTTTATTTCTCATCAAAGAAGAATCGTTTTAGCCTCTCTTTGGATGCCTGATAGGCCTTTGTGTCCCATCCTGCTTCGTTGTAGCTTCAGAGCATCCCAGACAAAGACTGCTGCAGTTTCACTGGGAAGAGGAGCGGAGCTGAGGTGTGATACAACTACATAAATTAAAGGAAATGTCTTCCTCCAAAATAACTGTCTGTGAACAGCAGTGAATGAGGATCACGGTGGATCAACAGGGTCTTGGAAATTATTTTTGCACCATAGTTTTAGTTTATGAAATTATTGAATCTGTTTGAAATAAGTGAGTATGATTTCTTTGTGCGAGAATGATGTGAGCGATAAATAATTTTACCAAATACAGGATGAAGGTGAGCAGCGAGAAAATCGATGGACCTAAACCTCAGGGTATGAAAAGAAACTAAAAATGTAATGTAGCATGTATGTAATGAGTACTCCTGACCCCCGACCCCAAACTTCAGTTTGATTTACCTCCAAACTAGAGACTTGGTTTAACCTTCTTCATTTTATTAAATCCCTTTAATATAAAATTTGGCTCCTGAAGCAAAAATTAATATGTAAACCAACTTGTAGCACCACAGAGATTGAACACTGAAGAGGACTGAACCGCAGTCTCACATGTTGAAAATACAGAAGACACCACCTGTATTTGTTTTAAGCTATTTTTTTTACCTGAGATGATGTTAAATGGTGTCATTGTTTTAGGGTTTGATTTTGGGACAGTTCTTTGTTGTACGTTTGCTGGTCTCGTCTGTGTTAATGTGCTTCAAAAGCCTTTTTTAATCAGGGTGCCTCCGGTCGCAGTAGCACTTTACCATCTCTGCTGTACAGCTCTTCTATTCAGTCACACAAAGGGCTTCACCCACTGTAGCCTCACACAAACGGGACAGGATGACGATCTGATAATGGGTACATAAAGGGCAGGGCAGGAAAGTAACCGAACCATTGTCTCAACAGAAACTCTGTAAGCACAGGCAAAATATCCTTTCTGATACAACTGGAAGAAACATTTGTTGCCCTACACTGAGTGAATGAAGATCACCCCCATAAAAATATTTATTCAGATTCACAAACTCTTCGTCATTATCCAGATCTGCACCAGATTTCATCTGATGATAGAGATTAGCACTGTACACATGCCTGATTATTTCCTTAAAGATATATGCATTATTTCTTGACCAATCCACAAAACTGTCAAAAAATGGGCATGTGTATTTAATCCACAGACTTGGACTCAGAGTCTTTAGCAGTAGTGTACTATTTAATTGAATACAGTTCAAGTATTCCAAGAAGAAACTGATTTCACTCTGATATCTCAAATGTCAAAGCTCAGCCACGTGTTAGATCGACAAAAACAGCTCCGGGGATGTGTTTAGTTCCAGTCTCGTTGAAGAAGCGTTGAAGGAGTCGTCTCCACCTACAGATCTCGTCACAATGATCTTGTCTTTGGAGTAACTCTGCAATTTAGTATTGTGCTGTGATCAAGTTGGAAGACTGATACGTTTTTTTGCGGAGGTCCTGACATTTAGTCACATAACGATGGTCCGATATTAACCACAATGCAACTCAATAGTGCCTTTCATTAGATCTTCCCACCCGGTACCGCAGGGTTTTTATTATCAATCTGTTATCTTAAACCCCTTCAGAGCCACGTTAGACGTTACACAATAGTTTCCATGGCTTGTACGCAAATAAACTGACCTCCGTATCTAAAATTAGTGGAGTGTCCTTTTAAATTAATGGCTTTCCTTTTTTCCCCTGAATCAGTTCAGATCTTACAATTCCCCAAATCACAGTGGTGTTACTTTCCTACCCTGCCGACAGGAACTGCAGAGATCACAAGGAGCACAGTTTCATAAGTTTCTGAGAGACACGAATCGCCTGTAGTTTAAAATAGACTGTGTTCCATCAGGCTTCCAGTCTCATCTGGTCATCAGTGCTTGACTGGGATTAACTGTGTGCCATAACTGTTGAAAACACACAAACACCTGCCAGCCTACGTTTCTGTGCATTTTTACACTAGAGATTTTAACCCGATGATTGTATCGAAGTCATTGACTTTATAGTGTTAGTTTTTACCGATGATAGATGTCAACAGTATTTAAAGCAGAGAATTTACTAGATTTTGTGCAACCTAGGATCAGTCTGTTCAGCCCTTTCCTAATCACATAGCTGAGACTTGAGAATGTGTGTAGTTTCAGGAGTTTCACAACTCTTTCTGTGTCAAGTACATGTTTCAGTCTAGATCATCGCCGTCAATAAGGTAGAAAGACCAGGGAGTGAACAAGCACTACACAGGACATAATGCACTCCCTGGTCCGGCAGTAGTAAAAAACTGAACAGTATTTCATTAATTCAGCAAGTAAGCTTCATTCATGAGCCTCACATGTGACAGGAGAGGTTGGAACCTGGTGTTAAAAGACCATTCTGCTGTTTTTAACATGCTGAGCCTCAGAACGCCCTTTCACTCACTGTTCTTCTCTTTATGTTTCAAAGGTTCCTTCACAGTTCGGGAGACGGGAAAAAATACTTTCTCATATCTAGGCCTTAAAGAATCAGAATACACATGTACATGATATATATATAAAAACACTTTGCATTTCTAAAAGTGTTCAGCATAGAATTGATCTTCAGAGCAATCACTGTGAGTTGATCCA